GACGCGGTTCGTCCATAGAGCACGGTCGTGCAGTGCCGCCCAAAATTTGTTTATTGTTCTTTTACGTAAAGCACTCACAATAATAAAATAAGAGACGCCAGAAACAAATACTAGTCAAATATTATATCAAAACAAGGGCCTCACTGGCTCCGTAACTGTCATTTCTGTGTCTATAGTGCCGTAAAACATTTACTTGTACTATGCCATGCCAAAGCCTACGCGCTCTAACTAAAACGTAATAGGAGATTCAACAGTGGTAACCTGACCTATAAATCGCTCTTTGGGAGAACCCAAGCGATGACGACACTCGTAGCGAGTTTGGCGGTACATTAACAATAAATAAGTCGGCACATCTCAAATGTGCTCCTGCCGAAGAGAGCCGAAACATAGCCCACAGTAGGCAATCTAAAAATAAACGCCATATACTGTACACTACTCTATGCCAAAACTATGTGAGCCCCGGAGCAATCCAGCAGAGTGCTCAAGTGAATTCTGATTGGTTCATTGTCTTGCCCCTAGGCTATTTTAAGTGACTCTGTGACCGTGAACCTGAGGAAGGTGAACGTAACATACTCAAGTCACCGTCCTATGAGTTGCGTCTTTGAATGTTTTTGTTGTGGAGTGGTGAAAGCTATTACTTGAGTGTTCAGTTCTACTGCAGGATGTTTAGCTAACAAAGAGATTTAGTTCTAGAAATCAAAGCGACAAGTAAAAGGAAAGAAAATAAAAGCACGAGCTACTCCCTCACCAACCCAAAGCTCCTAAAACTATACACCATCCCATTTACTATGCCCTTGACTATCTTCAGCCTGTGATAGCTTAATTAATTGTGCATGACCACTTTTTAGCCCCACGAGCCACCCCTGGTACTACGATACTGTTTTGCCGGTCCTCAGAGCATTGCGTCTCATATTCAACCAAACATAAAACGAAAAGTACGCAAAAACGAAATGAAGAGAATCACCATGAAAAAGAAAGTATCCCTAAAAAAAAAAAGAAAAAAAAAAGAAATCTTAAAACCTAAAGCCTGCACACATACACAAAGAAAAGAAAAAGGACCCCCCTCCCCATCCTCCCTCCCCACCTTATTTTTCAACACAAACAGTAAAAAACAAACACAAATGGGAAGCAGAAAATAGTAGAAAGGTAACCAAACAAAATTACCCCACTCCCTCTTCCCGCCCCTTCCCCACCCACCTGCACGTCATACACCTTTCTCAGAGCACCATCTGTTCTTGTCCTTATGCTGTGCCCTATAGTCGTACACATAATATCCTGCTGGGGTAGACCACACATTATAATATAACTTAACAGTACTTTACTCTCACAGTCTCACCCGCCACTTTCCTCAGCCTGAACTATCCTAAATATAAGATTTCACCCCATTCATTTATCTATTTAGCCTTTCTTTCATGCTTCGGCACGCATCAGTGCATAGTGTTAAAGCTAGCGACACTGAAAGTGATTTTGCCCAGGCGCTATAGAACTGGCAACCGCTTAAAGAGCCGCGAAGATCTCTCTAGTTTGCCGATCGATTTTGTATTGACAAAGATAAGCCAATATCTCTGACGTGAAGGAAACGAGGGGGAAAAAGAAGGGCGCGAACAAAAGTAGTTAGAAAGGGAGACGTAGAGCGAAGATATATTAAATCTAGTTCCAGACGTTTTCACTTTTTTTCAACGCCCTGCATGTTTTGCTTCGGCACAGAGTTGGAACAAACGGGCTGTCTAAACGTAGACAAAAATGGATATGATTACTTACAAAGAGTGATTAGACTTTCGTGGTATGATTTCAGCGGACTATTTTAATTTAGAAGTAGAAATTAATCTGTAAGAGGATAGATAGAGTTCTTGAGAGAATATTACAATCTATATTGACAGAATTTGTGTGGAAAACGAATCGCAAGGCAAGTTTTCTTAATTAGTCAGTACTACATGTAATATTTCAATACTGTCATTGAAGTTATGGTGTGTGTGTGTCTCTCCCCCCTCTCTCCCTCTCTCCAACACACACACTCATACACACACACACGCACACACACACACACACACACTCTATCTCTATCTATCTATCTATCTATCTATCTATCTATCTATCTATCTATCTATCTATCT